TGTCTAGCACAACAACTAAAATTTCATATGTGTATATTCCTCTTGCAAAAAAAAAAGATTGGAAACTATACAAAAATCTATAATGGGAGATGAAAAACCAGAGTAAGGGAGAGAAAAGATACAGCAAGTACACTGATCCAGAGAACCCATTTTCTGAAGTCTTGTTCCTGCATTACAAGGGTTGTAAAATTCTGTGGCCAAAGCAGAGAGAGAAATAAAATCAGTTACTCCATTTGCAGGATCCAGGGGGAGGAAGGGAAAACATACACACACACACACACACACACACACACACACACACACACACACACACACACACACACACACACACACACACACACACACACAGAGCTGCTTAGGAGAGGAGCATTCCTATTGAGAAATTTCTCATAAAGAGGATGAGATGTAGTGAGGGAGCAACTTCACCAACAGCAGCTGTGTATGAATGCAGTCAGATTCCCTGGGCCCAGAGGAAAGGTGCTTTAGTAACCATGACCCCTGAACAAATGGGCAAAACTTCTCCCACCTCCATCACCAGAGAAACCTACCTCACAGTGGTGTACAAAGCAATGTGATTGCTGTGACCACTGACTCCTCCAGCATCGAAAGTCACCACCTGCAGAGACAGATGAGGACAAGGGGGTGCTGTGCTTTACAGGTGCTTTCTCCATTCTTCAGCTTCAAAGAAGCTGTCGTCATTGCCTTGGAAAAGAAAGGAGGAAACAGGGCCCAGAAACTTAACATTCTGAGAAGTGTGAACCAACTTCTCAACAGATTATGGTATGTAAGCAGTTTGCATGACAGTAACAAGGAGGCTGTTTCCATGGGGTTTACTTACTCTTATTTCTGGCCAGCACAGAAGAGTGTTATTCAGTCATGACAGAAACAGTTTTAGGTTAGTGCTTATCTGCGTGGCCACTTACTAGCATTTACTTTTCCTGGCTGGCAATTAACATGAACTTTGTTCAAGTGGGTGCAGCCTGATTTCTTGGGGCCACTGGCGCCCAGCTGTTTGGGCTCTTTTCCCCATGTGATGCCATAGGCACAAAAACTCTAAGGGCAAATGTCCACCACAGCCTAGGCTTAAGTTCATGGAAAAAGTATATATATGATAGGCTACCTCTAATTCCATTTTCACAGACATGATCACATCTGTTTATTAATTATAAACTCAGTCAAGGTTATAACATTTCACTTTTGCACAGATGGATTTTAAAAACACCAAATGGAGCTTGTGACTAGTGGCCTGTGCCTGTAATCCTAGCTATCCAGCAGGCTGAGATCTGAGGATCATGGTTCAAAGCCAGCTGGGCAGGAAAGTCCATGAGACTCTTTTTTTTTTGGTAGGTCATGGGACTTGAACTCTGCCTGCGTGCTGTCCCTGTGCTCTTCAGTTCAAGGCAACTGCTTTACCGCTTGGGCCACAGCTCCATTTCTGGCTCTTCAGTGGTTAATTGGAGATGAGTCTCATGGACTTCTCTGCCTGGGCTGGCTTTGAACCATTATCCTCACATCTCAGCCTCCTGAGTAGCTAGGGTTACAGGTATGAGCCATCAATGCCCTTTTTGTTATTCTTATTCCCCATTTGTTGTTTGGTCATGGGGATTAAACTCTGGGCCTAGGCGCTGTCCCTCAGCTCTTGAGCTCAGGGCTAGCTCTCTACCACTTGAGCCACAGCACCGCTTCCAGTTTTCTGATGGTTAATTGGAGATAAGAGTCTCATGAGCTTGGGGCTGGTGGCTCCTGCCTGTAATCCTAGCCACTCAGGAGGCTGAGATCTGAGGATTGTGTTTCAAAACCAGCGATCAAGGATAATGCTCAGGCCCTAAATTCAATGACTAGTATCAAAATAAAAGGGTATCCTGAATAATTAGATATAAATATCAAGGATTCACCCTCCCCCACAGTATAACCCCTGCTTTCACTGTATTTGATGTTGGTATAATTTGTGGAGGGGAAGGGGAAAAACAAGTAGTTTAAATAAGGATACAGGTGGACCCATTGCAACAATGAGAAGTACAAGTGGTCATGTCGAAAACGAACTTTACAACTTTGGTGGGGGGGGCAGAGGATTGGGTGGGAGGGCGGGGGGAGGCTGGAAGGGATGTGAAGGGTAAACAAAGGAGGAGGCTACAATGCTTGATAAGAAATGTACTCATGGGCTGGAAGTTGGCTCAGTGGTAGAGCGCTTGCCTTGCATGCCAGAGGCCCTGGGTTCGATTCCTCAGCACCACATAAGCAAAAAGAAAAACAAAGCCAGAAGTGGCGCTGTGGTTCAAGTGGTAGAGCGCTAGCCTTGAGCTGAAAAGCTGAGGGACAGCGCCCAGGCCCAGAGTTCAGGCCCCATGACCGGACCCTAAAAAAAAAAAAAAAAAGAAATGTACTCATTATCTTGCCCATGTAATTGTAACCCCTCTGTACAGTATGTTCACAATAAAAAATTTAAAAAAAAATCAAGGATTCAGTTTTGAAAGGCAATAGGATGCTTGGCTAGGGAATGATAAATGGGGTGTGTCCCTAAACAAAGAAGATGTTAGCATGTTAGCATGAATAGACTGGGAACTGGGACTGGAACAGGCACGAAAGGTCTTTTTTTTTTTTTTTTGGTCATAGGACTTGAACTTGGCCTGGGCGCTGTCCTTCAGCTCTTCTGCTCAAGGCTAGCACTCTACCACTTGAGCCACAGCACCACTTCTGGCATTCTGAGTGGTTTATTGGAGATAAGAGCCTCAAGAAGCCGGGTGCTGGTGGCTCATGCCTGTATTCCTAGCTACTCAGGAGGCTGAGATCTGAGGATCCCGGTTCAAAGCCAGCCCGGACAGGAGAGACCGTGAGACTCCTATCTCCAATAACCACCAGAAAACCGGAAGTGGCACTGTAGCTCAAGTGGTAGAGTGCTCGCCTTGAGCTGAAGAGCTGAGGGACAGCGCCCAGGCCCAGAGTTCAAGCCCCACGGCCGACCAAAGAAAAAAAAAAAAAGAGCCTCAAGAATTTCCTGCCTGGGCTGGCTTTGAACCGCAATCATCAGATCTCAGCCTCCTGAGTAGCTAGAATTACGGGTGTGAGCCACCAGTGCCCAGCAGTTCTATTTTTTTTAATTGTTATTATAAAGGTGACATACTGAGGGGTTACAGTTATATGTCAGGTAATGAGTACATTTCTTTGTGGCCAGTGTCACCCCTTCCCTCACTCTCTCCCAGTTTTCCCCTCCCATTCCCACCCACAAGTTACATATTTCATTTTTAACATAGTGTCTAGGAATGAATGTACTGCTGCATTTGTTTACCCTTTATGCCACCCCTTATGCTCCCAAAGACATATAAACAAGCAAACAAGACAAAAAGAAACAATGAACTGGACCCAGTGGCTCACGCATGTAATCCTAGCTACTCAGGAGGCTGAGATCTGAGGATCACCATTCAAAGCCAGCCCTGGCAGGAAAGTCCGGGAGACTCTTATCTCCAATAAACCGCTAGAAAACGGTGCTCACCTTGAGCTGAAGAGCGCAGGGATATTGCCCAGGCTGAGTTCAAGCTCCATGACCAATAAAAAAAGAAAATTAAAAAAAAATGAAAACAACAACAAAGAAAAGACCTTGATTCCCATTTCCTGGAGTTCATTTTTCTTTCTACAACTTAAAACAAACTTAAAACAGGTTGACTAAGCCAAGCACAGGTGACTCAGACCTGTAATCCTAGCTACTTAGGAGGCTAAGATCTAAGGATCATGGTTTAAAGCTAGCCCAAGCTGCAGAATCCGTGAGACTCCCAATGAAACACCAAAAACCCCAGAAGTAGAGCTGTAGCTCAAGTGGTAGAATGCTAGCCTTGAGCACAAAAGCTCAGGGACAGTACTCAGGCCCTGACTTCAAGCCCAGGAGTGGCATACAAACCAATACCACCCAGGCTGACTGGAAATCATGAGAAGCTCTTCTACACACAGAGCATTGGACTCAGTGCTTCATGAATGCTAGGCAAGTGTTCCAGCCTAGCACCCATATCTGTTCACCTTAACAAATCTACAGTTCCAAATATTTTTCCACTTGAATACAAAGGCCTATTTGTTTAAATATATGCCTTTTTGAAATTCCATAAGCTCATCTGGGCTTAATCCTATCACCTTTTTTTCCTTCTTGGATTACAGATCAATTGGCTTTACAATGAGTTCCTGTCCTTTTGACCCCTCTGCCAATGGGAATTATAATACCTAGTGTATTGTGGTATATTGTCTTTGGCAGAACTTTTTCCCACTCACTGTACTATTTGGTTCTCAAAATGTTCCCATGAGATAGGAAAACTGTCTAAAAATTGTGGTGTTTGTGTGTGTGTGTATGTATGTGTGTGTGTGTGCGCGCATGGGCACGTGTGCGCGTGCATGCGCACGTGTGCGCGTGTGCTTTTAAACTCAAATACCCAGCTCTGATCTTAGTTCTTCCTTGCAGGCCACCAAGGGCAACCCAAGTCTAGTCTTCTCTGGGAGTAGTTATTCATAGTACTTTGGGCAAGTCACAGAGCTGTATTGCCAGAAGTTATTTCACCTTGGAATGTCTTGGCTTCATCATGTGTGAAATCGGGAAAATAATACCTTCCCTACTTTCCTTGATGGGTTGAGATGAAGCTAAAATAAAACCACATGAAAGGCTTTAAAAATTACACCGGGCTGGGAAGGTGGCTCAGTGGTAGAGTGCTTGCCTTGCATGCATGAGGCCCTGGGTTTGATTCCTCAGCACCACATAAACAGAAAAAGCTGGAAGTGGTGCTGTGGCTCAAGTGGTAGAGCGCTCGCCTTGAGCTGAAGAGCTAAGGGACAGCGCCCAGGCCCACAGTTCAGGTCCATGACTGGCAAAAAAAAAAAAAAAAAAATTACAGATCAGGGCTGGGAATGTGGCTTAGTGGTAGAATGCTTTCCTAGCTGTATGAAGCCCTGGGCTCGATTCCTCATTACCACATAAACAGAAAAAGCCAGAAGTGGTGCTGTGGCTCAAGTGGTAGAGTGCTAGCCTGAACAAAGAAGTTCAGGGACAGTGCCCAGGCCCTGAGTTTAAGTTCCAGGACTGACAAACAAAAAGCCAAACTACAGGGCTGGGAAGATGGCTCAGTGGTAGAGCGCTTGCCTTGCATGCATGAGGCCCTGGGTTTGATTCCTCAGCACCACATAAGCAGGAGAAAAAAAAAGCTGGAAGTGGCGCTGTGGCTCAAGTGGTAGAGCGCTAGCCTTGAGCTGAAGAGCTGAGGGACAGCACCCAGGTCCAGAGTTCAGGCCCCAAAACCGGACCTCCAAAAAAAAAAAAAAAAAAGCAACCAAACTACAAATCAGTCAGTGCTAGTGTCTCAATTCCTGGGCTGTCTGTCACTATCAGATAGAGCTAGTAGCATACAGGTGAGATCAGTATCAGAAGGGACACTGGAGGGCATTGCATTGACCAAAGGATTGGAGCCAAGTGGTATTCCACTCAATTCCTTTTTTGGTGCTGGGAACTTTTTTTTTTTGTCCAGTCGTGGGGCCTGAACTCTGGGCCTGGGCGCTGTTCCTCAGCTCTTCAGCTCAAGGCTAGCACTCTACTAATTGAGCCACAGTGCCACTTCCGGCTTTTTTTCTTATGTGGTGCTGAGGAATCGAACCCAGGGCCTCGAGCATGCAAGGCAAGTGCTCTACCACTGAACCATCTTCCCAGCCCGGGACTTATATATATTAAGCATGCATTCTGCCTTTGAATTACATCCCCCTGCCCTCACTTATCTGAAAATTCTCCAAGGTCTTTATTTCTTATCTCGCATCTTCTTATACTATCTCACTCTGTGGTGAGCTAGCTGAACCAAATGGTAGTCAGCTCCCTGGTCATGTATATTTGTACATGACAATCATAATCCAGGTGGTTATTTACAGAATTCCATCTCCCCCCCTTTTTTTCTTTCTAGTTTTCAGAAGTCTTGGTCCAAATGAGGTCTTGTTCAGATTCCAATTTTAAAAAAAGACCCAATAGTAGAGATCTCTGGCCCTAAAGCACTGTTTCTTACATGAAGATGGTTTTGTCCATGTGCATTTGGCAATGTATGGAGATCTTCATTGTGATAACTGAGGAGAGGGGTTGCTCCTGGAATCTAGTATATGGAGGCCACGGATACAAATACATATCCCATAAAGCACAGGACAGCACCCCTAACAGAGAATTACCTAGCCCCAAATGTCAATAATGCCACGTTGAAACATCTGCTCTAAGAGAGAACATGTGTTTGGGCTTGCTGCTTTATTTCTAGTTTCAACACATAGTGCAGCTCAACAAATATGTATTGAATGAAAGACTGAGGCAGGGATTGGGATCCAGGACATAGCTTAGCTGACCCCAGTGAAGACACTACTGACCCTTGCTTTCTGTGGAAGGTGGCTTTGTACTTTCTAAAGTCTTACCCTGTCAGTTACTCTGTGTGGTTCTCGTGATGCTCCTGTATCATGATTAAGCAGACAAGCTGGAAAGCATACTGCAGACAAGGGATCAGATGGAACCCCATTTTCTGCCATCACACTATGCTATGAGTGTGAGGCTAGTTTCACTTTGGAGGAGGGAGTGCTGATCTTATCCTGGCACAGTGCCAGGTGATAGTCTTCCTGTGGCTCAGCCCTAGATTCTCCATTTGGCTTATGCTTTCTTGTTTGTTTGCTTTTTTTTGTCGGTTGTGGGGCTTGAACTCTGGGCCTGGGCGCTGTCCCTCAGCTCTTCAGCTCAAGGCGAGCACTCTACCACTTGAGCTACAGCGCCACTTCCGGTTTTCTGGTGGTTTATTGGAGATAGGAGTCTCACGGTCTTTCCTGCCCTTTCCTGCCCAGGCTGGCTTTGAACCGCAATCCTCAGATCTCAGCCTCCTGAGTAGCTAGGATTACAGGCGTGAGCCACCAGCGCCCGGCTGGCTTATGCTTTCTGTTGGTTCTTCACTGTCTTTGTTGTGCAGTGGATATGTCTGGACTGAATTGGGATTCCCCAAGATAACTGTACTCAGCTTGGTACAGGATACTGCCTCTGAGAGCCTTCTCACCTGCCTAGTACTAACCCTCATCCTTTGTCATAGAGGGACTATGGGAGGAAAAACATATTTTACTGTGATACAAGGAGCTGAACAGAACCTGTATTTCGTTTGGTGATAGGCAATTATGACTGCACTGGTCATGATATGGTGTTAGCATGACTGATACTTGTATTGTGGCTTAAGTGCAGATCAGGGAAAGAATTCTCAACTGCACTGTTATAACCACAGCCATCTTATTTAACAGGACGCTGGTTGCAAGTAACTTATTAATAAAGAATTGCTTTAGGCTGGGAATGTGGCTCAGTTGTAGTGTACTTGCCTAGCATGAATGAAGCCCTGAGTTCCATTCCTCAGTACCACATAAACAGAAAAATCTGGAAGTGGCACTGTGTGGCTCAAGTGGTAGAGTGCTAGCCTTGAGCAAAAGAAGTTCAGTGTCCAGGCCCTGAGTTCAAGCCCCAGGACTCACAAAAATAAATAAATAAAAGTTCCAAGCTGGGTGCCAGTGGCTCACGCCTGTAATCCTAGCTACTCAGGAGGCTAAGGATCACCGTTCAAAGCCAGCCTGGCTAGGAAAGTATATTTATCTCTAATAAACCACTTGGAGAACCAGAAGTGGTGCTGTGGTTCAAGAGATAGACTCTAGTCTTGAGCTGAAGAGCTGAGGGACAGCACCCAGGCCTAGAGTTCAAGCCCCATGAACGACCAAAATAAAAAGAAATGATTTCCTCTGCCAGGTGCAGAAGGCTCACCCCTGTAATACTAGCTACTCAGGATGGTAGTTCAAAGCCAGACAGGGTGAGAAAGTCAATGGTTATCTCCAATTAATGAGCAAACGGCTAGTGGGGCTGTGGCTCATGTAGCAGATCCCTAGTCCTTAGTGAAAAAGCTAAGGGATAGCACCGAGGCCCTGAATTCAAGCCCAAGTACTGGCACAAAGGGAAGAAAAAAAAAGATGTAAAAGAGAATTGAAAGGTGTATTTGTTTCTAGGTATGCTCAACAGATTGACTAGAGAGCCCTGAAAGTTTTGGACACTTTATAGATGGCATCCTTTCCGATATTAATCTCACCTGTGTACTACCAGTTGTATCTGATGGGACAGGCCAGGAGTTGAGACACTCTAGTACTGACTGATCTGTAGAAACCAACTGGTAGGATAGGTAGGAGACCCTGGGCTTTCCATTCAGGGAGGTGTCCCCTTACCAAGTTGATACCATTGACTGCTATGTACTGGAGGAGAATGCTGGCCACACGTTCCGTGTCCCACTGCACTCCTGGGTCATCAGGGAAGTCCCTGTAAGTGAGAAGCACAATTAGAACACCTCTTTTTTTTTGTCCCCCCCCCGCACGGCTGCCACCGCCAGTCATGGGGCCTGAACTCTGGGTGTGGGTGCTGTCCTTCAGCTCTTCAACTCAAGGCTTTACCACTTGAGCAAGCCACAGCACCACTTCCAGCTTCTTCTGCTTATGTGGTGCTGAGGAATCGAACCCAGGGCCTCATGTATGCACTGTAAGTATTCTACCACTGAGCCACCTTCCCACCCCTAGAACACCTCTTGTAACCAGGCCCAACCTATCTCTAAACTCTAGGGCATGTGTGCCCATAAGTATGATAGGAATTATGCTGGTGGTTGGGGAGTTCCTTATCCTTAAGGTACTCAGATTTCAGTTAAACAGATACAATTTACAGACATAAAACAACTACAAATAGATGCATAATTCTTCCCAGTATCCTCTTGGGGTTTTGGTTTCTTGCTGAGGGGAATAAACAGCATGAATAGCCTTCAGCTCAAGGCTAGCGCTCTACCACTTGAGCCACAGTGAGACTTCCAGCTTTTTTTTTTTTCTGCTTATGTGGTGCTGAAGAATCCAACCCAGGGCCTCATGCATGCAACACAAGCACTTTACCACTGAGCCACCTTCCCAGCCCATAACTCGGCTTTTCAGTAGTATATACTTCTTACAATTTTTCCTTTTCCTTCCATTTACATTTGTGTTAGCAATTCTGAGATAATTCATTAACATTACTGTCTCAAATTTTATATCCCTAAAAATTCATGGTGTGAAAAGGATATATGGAATAACACAAAGATAACAACAGAAATGTAAATTCAATATATACAAGCAGCAAAACATCAACAACCTGAAGGTTTAATTGTTGTGATAAATTGTACCCAGATAATAAATATGTATCTTCCAAGACACAGAGGCCACTGACCACTAACCTACTGGTTCCAAGTTTGAGGCATAGGTGTGCTTTGAAGAATGTACAGTAAGAGAGTAAAAGGATTTCTATAAGGATAATGATAACTATTTCAATATTATAATACATTTCAAATGTGTGCCCTCTCAAACCACTGAAGTTTCCTATAGTGTACTTAAGGGACTTTGGGGGAAATAAAATTCTTTGACTTTGTATTTTGAGATAATTTTAGATTTATAGAATAATTACAAAAATAGTTTAAAGAGCTACTTGTCTTTTATCAGCATCTCCTAAGGCTGAAAACCCAGAGAATCTTAGTATAATTACCAAGAGATGTAATGCTTTAAACTGAACTGCTTTAGTTTATAGGCTTTATTGGTACTCACCAACATGTCTTACTAAAACTCTATTTTCATCACAAAATCTAATCTAGCCTGCTTAGTTATGCTGTCTTCTTAGTTTACCTAATCTGCAACAATTCCTGAGTCTTTTCTTGTCTTTCAATAACTATGGCCTTGAGGCTTTTAAATATTAACTATTCAAGTGAAAGGCTGGAACAAAGTCTTCCAAGCCGGCCCTCATAAACAGGCTGGGGTAGTAATACTAATATTAGATAAAACATATTTCAAATTACAATTAGGAAAACAAAGAAGGGCATTTCATATTAATAAAGTGAACTCTCCATTAGGTTTCTGTCTGATGTGGTTCCCTGGTCTTGGTTATTTTTTTTGGGTTATATTCCTCCTTTTTATATATTCTTGTAGTGCTGGCTTCTTGTTCATGAATTTCTTTAATTTTTCTTTTTTTTTTTTTTTTATTAGGAAAACAAAGAAGGGCATTTCATATTAATAAAGTGAACAGCTTTTCAGCTCAAGGCGAGCACTCTACCACTTGTGCTACAGCGCCACTTCCGGTTTTCTGGTGGTTTATTGGAGATAGGAGTCTCACGGTCTGCCCGAACTGGCTTTGAACCGCGATCCTCAGATCTCAGCCTCCTGAGTAACGAGGATTACAGGCGTGAGCCACCAGCGCCCAGCCTTTAATTTTTCTTTATTATTAAAAATTTTAGTTTCTCTGTTGAATGTGAATGCTAGTTTCTCTGATATACCAGTCTGGGTTGGCAGTTATGGTTTTCAGGGCTTGGGTGGTATTTTTCCATAAACTATATGAGACTCATAGAAGTTTCTGCCTGGGCTAATTCCAACTGTGATCCTCAGATCTCAGCCTCTTGAGTAGCTTTGAGACTCTTATCTCAAATTAACTACCTAAAAAGCTGAAAGTGGAGCTGTGGCTCAAGTGGTAGAGTACCTGAATGGACAGTGCCCAGGCCCTGAGTTCAAGCTCCAGGAATGGCATACACACACACACACACACACACACACACACACACACACGAGTGTTCTCCTGGAAATTTTCAAGTAAATAGAACATTAGTATCATCATATTTAGTAATCTTATAAATGAAAAATTTGTACTGGGTATCGGTTGCTCATGCCTATGATCCTAGCTACCCAGGAGGCTGAGATCTGAGGATTGTGGTTCCAAGCCAGCCCAGGCAGGAGAGTCCATGAGACTCTTATCTCCAAGAAACTGCCAAAAAAGCTGAAAGTAGAGCTGTGGCTCAAGTGGTAAAGCTCTAGCCTTGAGCAAAAGAAGTCAGGTAGAACACCCAGGCCCAGAGTTCAAGCCCCAAGACAGTCAAAAAAAAATATTGCGCTCTCTCTGCTCTTTTCTAGCTCTGTCTAGCTCTTTCCGTCTCTTCTCTTTCCCAGCTCCCTTCTCTTTCCCACCTTTCCCAGATGCTCTCTTTTCTAGCTCTTTTTCCTCTTTTCTAGGTATTTTCTCTCTCTTTCCCAGCTCTCCCAGCTCTCTTTCCCAGGCTTTTCTCCACCGTGTGGAGGACCAAGATGGCCTGGTGCCAGCCCGAACAATGAATAAACCTACCCCTTACCTGAAAAAAAACTTGCATTTTTGCCTTTTTTTATATATGTAAGATAAACATTAGGTGAAACTGGAACTCTGGTTTAAACAGGTTACCAGCAGTTATCAGCACTGATATTTATTTTATTTTTATTTTTTGAGAATCTTTTTAAATTTTTTATTATCTTTAAGTAGTTGTACGACGAAGTTTCCATTCTACAAAACAGTATATGAGGGCTGGGAAGGTGGCTCAGTGGTAAAGCGCTTGCCTTGCATGCATGAGGCCCTGGGTTCGATTCCTCAGCACCACATAAGCAAAAAGAATAAAGCCGGGATGGCGCTGTGGCTCAAGTGGTAGACCACTAGCCTTGAGATGAAGAGCTGAGGGACAGCGCCCAGGCCCCACAACCAACCCCCCCCCCAAAAAAACCAACAGTATATGAATACAAAGTGTTGATAATATTGTCATCCATCACTCCTAACCCACCCCTCTCTCACTTGTCTTTTTTTTTTAATGAGATTAGGTGATTACATAAATTTCACATATTTCACAGGTATTATGGAATAGTGTTACTTAGTTAAAGCCACAAACACATTTTAACCTTCACAAGGCAAATTGTTATTATCATGGTCTATAAAGTTTGTGAATTCTATGAGCTTTGACAATACAATTATTTCTTTCACATCAGGTGATAATTAATTTCTTTCCTTTTGCTTAGTGTAAGCTGTTCCCTCTTTCCCTCTCATTCCTCCCTTCCCATCACTGGAGGGGATGCGGAGAAAGAGGAACCCTATTACACTGCTGGTGGGAATGTATATGAATACAACCACTTTGGAAAGCAGTCTGGAGGTACCTCAGAAAGCTAAATACAGACAGCCATACCACTCCTAGGCATCTACCTGAGCAACAGGAACCAGGATACAAGGACACATGTACCTCCAGGTTCATTGCAGCACTGTTCACAATAGCTAAGATATGGAAACAACCCAACTGCCCCACTACTGATGAGTGCATCCAAAAATTTTGATACCTCTATATAATGGAATATTATGCAGCCATTAGAAAGGACAAAATAATGGCATTTGCAGGGAAATGGATGGACCTAGAGCAAATCATTTTGAGCAAGGTAAGCCAAGAGCAAAGAGACAAACGGCATATGGTCTCCCTGATATGTGGATGCTAAAGCCAAAATGCAAGGAGATATGACAAAGTAAACAGGACTCAAGAAACAAAGACTGCCACTCATTTTGTCATTGCTAAATGACTCCATGTTCTTGACCATATATATGGTATATACATGCTGCAACAGAGGGAAGCTAGGAGGAGAACACAGAATCAGTAGGAAATAAGAAAACATACAACAGACGTGCCCATCAGTTGCACTGGACAGATCTGTTCTGTGCATGTAAGATACCCCAAATGATTTCTTCCCTTCAATGTAAGAAAATATGAGTATTTATTTATTTATTTAGTTAGTTAGTTAGTGAGGCTTGAACTCTGGGCCTGGGTGTTGTCCCTGAGCTCTTTAGCTCAAGGCAAAAGCTCTACCACTTGAGCCATAGCACCATTAATGGTTTTCTGGTGGTTCATTGAAGATAAGAGTGTCACAGGCTGGGCACTGGTGGCTCACATATGTAATCCTAGCTACTCAGGAGGCTGAGATCTGAGGATCATGGTTCAAAGCCAGTCTGGGCAAGAAAGTCCATGAAATTCTTATCTCCAATAAACCACCAGAATACTGGAATTGGTGCTGTGGCTCAAGTGGTAGAGCGCTAGCCTTGAGCTGAAGAGCTGTGGGACAGCGTCCAGGCCCAGAGTTCAAGCCCTACAACCAACAAAAAAAAAAGTGTTCTGGACTTTTCCTGTCTGGCCTGGCTTTGAATGGTAAGCCTCAGGTCTGAGTCTCCTTAGTAGTTAGGATTATAGGCATGAGCCACCAGTGCCTGGCAACCTTTTATTTATTTATTTATTTTTTATATTTTGGTTGGTCGTGGGGCTTGAACTCTGGGCTTGGGCGCTGTCCTTGTGCTCTTCAGCTCAAGGCGAGTGCTCTACCACTTGAGCCACAGCACCACTTCCGGTTTTCTAACGGTTTATTGGAGATAAGAATCTCACGAACTTTCCTGCCCGGGCTGGCTTTGAACCACGATCCTCAGATCTCAGCCTCCTG